TTTGGATTTACGGTCAAGCATGTATTTTTGTATAGTGTTTTGTCTTTTGGATTTTTGGTCAAACATGTATTTTTGTACAGTGTTTTGTGGACTGTCTTTGGGATTTTTCGGTCGAGCATGTTTTTGTATTGTGTTTTGTGGACTGTCTTTTGGATTTTCGGTCAAGCACGTGTTTTTGTATTGTGTTTTGTGGACTGTCTTATGGATTTTTCGGTCGAGCATGTGTTTTTGTATTGTGTTTTGTGGACTGTCTTTTGGATTTTCGATCAAGCATGTGTTTTTGTATTGTGTTTTGTGGACTGTCTTTTGGATTTTTCGGTCGAGCATGTGTTTTTGTATTGTGTTTTGTGGACTATGTTTTGGATTTTCGGTCAATCATGTGTTTTTGTATTGTGTTTTGTTGATGGTATTTTGGATTTTTTACGGTTAAGCATGTATTTTTGTATAGTGTTTTGTCTTTTATTTTTTTGGTCAAACATGTATTTTTTTACAGTGTTTTGTGGACTGTTTTGTCTTTTTGAATTTTTTTGGTCAAGCATGTATTTTGTATAGTGTTTTGTCTTTTGGATAATCGGTCAAGCATGTATTTTTGTACAGTGTTTTGTGGACTGTTTTGTCTTTTGGATTTTTGGTCAAACGTGTATTTTTGTGGACTGTTTTGTCTTTTAGATTTTTTTTGTCAAGCATGTATTTTGTATAGTGTTTTGTCTTTTAGATAATCGGTCAAGCGTGTATTTTAGTAGAGTGCTTTGTGGACTGTTTTGTCTTTTGGATTTTTTTGTTCAAGCATGTATTTTTGTACAGTGTTTTGTGGACTGTTTTGTCTTTTGGATTTTTGGGTCAATCATGTATTTTTGTATAGTGTTTTGTCTTTTGGATTTTTGGTCAAACATGTATTTTTGTACAGTGTTTTGTGGACTGTTTTGTCTTTTAGATTTTTTTGGTCAAGCATGTATTTTGTATAGTGTTTTGTCTTTTAGATAATCGGTCAAGCATGTATTTTAGTACAGTGCTTTGTAGACTGTTTTGTCTTTTGGATTTTTTTGGTCAAGCATGTATTTTGTATAGTGTTTTGTCTTTTGGATTTTTTTGGTCAAGCATGTATTTTGTATAGTGTTTTGTCTTTTGGATTTTTGGTCAAGCATGTATTTTTGTACAGTGTTTTGTGGACTGTCTTTTGGATTTTTCGGTCGAGCATGTGTTTTTATATTGTGTTTTGTGGACTGTCTTTTGGATTTTCGGTCAAGCATGTGTTTTTGTATTGTGTTTTGTAGTCTGTCTTTTGGATTTTTGGTCGAGCATGTGTTTTTGTATTGTGTTTTGTGGACTGTCTTTTGGATTTTGGGTCAAGCATGTGTTTTTGTAATGTGTTTTGAGGACTGTCTTTTGGATTTTTCGGTCGAGCATGTGTTTTTGTATTGTGTTTTGTGGACTGTCTTTTGGATTTTTCGATCGAGCATGTGTTTTGTTGATGGTATTTTGAATTTTTTACGGTCAAGCATGTTTTTTTGTATAGTGTTTTGTCTTTTGGATAATCGGTCAAGCATGTATTTTTGTACTGTGCTTTGTGGACTGTTTTGTCTTTTGGATTTTTTTGGTCAAGCATGTATTTTGTATAGTGTTGTCTTTTGGATAACCGGTCAAGCATGTATTTTTGTACAGTGTTTTGTGTACTGTTTTGTCTTTTGGATTTTTCGGTCAAGCATGTATTTTTGTATAGTGTTTTGTCTTTTGGATTTTTTGGTCTAACATGTATTTTTGTACAGTGTTTTGTGGACTATTTTGTCTGTTGGATTTTTTGGTGAAGCATGTATTTTGTAGTGTTTTGTCTTTTGGATAATCGGTCAAGCATGTATTTTTGTACAGTGATTTGTGGACTGTTTTGTCTTTTGGATTTTTCGGTCAAGCATGTATTTTTGTATAGTGTTTTGTCTTTTGGATTTTTGGTCAAACATGTATTTTGTATAGTGAGTAAGCAAAAGTTTTAAAGTAAATTGACCATGACTGAGGGGGCAAGGCCAAATATTCTCCATGGAAATGAGATGTGCAAATGCTTATACAACTGAACACCAATTAACATTGGCCTACCACTAATGGTTCCCCTTGAACTGACCTAATCAAAAACTAATACATGTAAACTATGAAAAGTTTCAAAGTCAATAGACCTTGACTGAGGGGGCGGGGCCAAATAATCCCTATGGTAATGAGATGTGCCAATGCTAATACAACTGCATACCAAATATCATTGACCTACCACTAGTGGTTCACCATGAACTAGACCTAATCACAAACTAATACATTGTTGAAGCCGCCGTCGCCGCCGCTGGAAACAGCATACCTATGTCTCGCTTTTTGACTCCGTCAAGGCGAGACAAAAATCAGTTGAAAAAGGCTTCACTCATCAGATGGATACAAACAGAAATACATCTAACAAAAATACAGAGATGACGTGGATGGGTACTTATACATCCCCATATCAAAAAGACACCAAGTACAGATCTGAGAGTATTTGCAGTTACCGACAGCTAGTTCAAAGCCAATAACAACTAATAAAAATCAAAGCACTGTAAGCGCTGTAGGCAGTTAACCAAAAACCAAGGGCAAACGTAATAGAAGAACTGTGGCAGTGTTGCTTCAATTTTTTTTTTTAAGATTTGAAAGAACATTAAACACTTGTATATTGTACATTTATGTTTATCTAATGAATAGATTATTAAGGCAAATTAATTAATATTTCATCAAGGTTTTCAAAAGCAATGCATATATATCAATGTAAATGACCCCCATCTTCACCCCAAGTCCATGATGTCACTCCATACCAAGTTTGGAATAAAATGTTGGTGATTATAAAACAGTTGGTCAAACATTCATGGGCTTTACACTGCTTGAAAGATTTAAATGATTTCTTTAAAATGAGCCATAAATGAAAATTATTATAGGCCCAGAAATAATTCAAAAAATAATTAATGTAAATTAATTTAACATAGACTCATTTTTTGCATCAATAAAATTTTATAATAAACAAGAAATAATTGTAACAGGATGCCGTCTCCCAAACAAAGCTCCCATAATTCGTCATTCCCATGGTCACCTGACATTGGGCAAAGTCCAGTACATATTTGTTTGGTCTAGTAAAGTGATATGCATATGTGACGCCTAGGGGATTGACCCTGTATGTCAGTCAATTCTTTTTGAAATGACGAACAGGAATAAATATGGTTTAGGAGTGGGTATCTCGACCATTTACAAGTTCTCAAACAGGAGGGGGTGGGTGACCCCAGGGACTCCCCCTATATTTCATTTGATTTGTTTTATTGTCCCATACATAAATATATATGGTTTAGGGGTGGGGATCTCGACCATTTCCAAGTTCTCAAAAAGTAGGGGGTGAGGTGACCCCAGGGACTCCCCATATATTTCATTTGATTTGTTATATTGTCCCATACATGAGTATATATGGTTAAGGGATGGGGATCTCAACCGTTTACAAGTTCTCAAACAGGTTGGGGTGCCTGAGAGACCCCAAGGACTCCTCCTATATTTCATTTGATTTGTTTTATTGTCCCATACTTGAATATATATGGTTTAGGGGTGGGGATCTCGACCATTTCCAATTTCTCAAATAGGAGGGGGTGGGGTGACACCAGGGACTCCCCATATATTTCATTTGATTTGTTATATTGTCCCATACATGAATATATATGGTTTAGGGGTGGGGATCTCGACCGTTTACAAGTTCTCAAACAGAAGGGGGTGGTTGACACCGGGTACTCCCCCAAATTATTTTCATTTGATTTGTTTTATTGTCCCATACAAGTATATATATGGTTTAGGGGTGGGGATTGCGACCGTTTACAAGATAAAAGCACATTTTTAAATTGAAGGGGGTTGGGATGACCCCCCAGGGACTCACCCTATACTTTATTTGATTTGTTTTATTGTCCTATACTCATTACTGAAGACCGTGTGTGTCTATCACTTACTGTTTTCAAGAAATAGTCATTTGAAAATTTAAAAAATAAAACCCTGTAGGGTTCTACAGTAAACCCATCCCTTCTTTAGGCCCCTCAAAATACCCCTAAATAGACCCCAATGCACAAACAAAAGATTGATGGCTCCGCTAGACATGTTAGCCTAACATTTTATGAAACCCTAAGTAAATCTGACAAGCGGTCTGAGCTGTCTTCTTAGACAGTTCGAGCTGATTCGGTCCGACTTGTCTCGGGGACGAGTTGTCCACATTACTTAAAACATCCCATCAACGTTGATTTCCAGATCTGTGTCATGACCTTGTTTCATTCATAAAACAACAACCTTATTTGGCAAGATATTAAAGTTGTAACATTAGCGCCAACTTAGATATATAACTTTATTTCCTCTATCATAGAGATTTGTTGTACATGAACAATATTCCTGCACATTTTGCCATTTGGGAAATATAAACTACTTGTTACTACAGATTTTCAGCGATGAAATATTTCATACAATTGTTCTTTGACATCTTAGCCAAAAGCACAGGGGATAATAAACTACGTACGGATTTCTATTGAGCACTATTTCCTAGGTGCAACTTCAAATATTATGGGTCGTTTGACGATCATTCAAGGTTATTCTGGTTATATTTTTTGTATTCCAGAATTAAAAGTATGAAAAAAATATCCATTTAGTTATAAATAACATATCAGCCTGCTGGATTATAACAATGGCACTTTTTTCAGCATTCGTTGGGAAGAACACAAATCTAGGGTGCTAGCATAAGGCAGCTTAACTGCCTAAAAATCATGCATCCAAGACTAAACTGAAGTCAGAGCGGATTAGAATTACAGATATAAAGATAATTGCAACTGTCTATGCCACTGATATTGGGTCAATCTTTCCATCTACAAAAAGACAAAAAGACAAAACAAATGCATGCTAATGAAATTACTAACTTTTCTACTATTTTCTATTGTCATTATTGATTTGTGTGAACAGGTTTCTATAGATTATGAAAGAAATACTATTATTCACAAATATTTTATTTACAATATAAACACACAATATTGTACAATATCAGGCAGTGATAACATAAAAAACAATTTACAGCTGCTGCCTTGTTCACTGCATTTAAAAATTCCATTGAAATTTCATTATCTGAGTAAAGATCAACAATATTGATTTTCAATTTTTAGCTTTTCACAAAGTATACTACACTTGTTTTTTTATGAAGTCTGTAATAAAATTACATATGTTCCACATGATATCAAGCTCAAGCTTGTCATGGTAACACTTAGCTAATTACAGTTGTGTGTGCTGATGTGTAGTCAGATAATAATCTCTCAATAAATATTTAACATGTATCAGATCATATAACAACTGGTCTTCAAAAGCAATTAAATCTGTATCATTCTTACACATGATAAAATAATCTTAATGTGCATTTTATGAAGAGTTCAATATGCAAAAGCCTGAAAGCAAAATAAAATAAATTTTAGGACATTAGTATTTAAGTATTTTCAAAGTTATTATTGGTTATAATATATCATCTTAGCATATTGTGCATTATACAGTGTAGGGTATTGATATTTCTATTATCCTTTTTAGAAATCAGTAACTATCAATATTGAGGCATTGTTCAATTTTCAGGTTTGCCCACTTTGTTGGGTCAACGAAAAATTTGACAATGTCACATATCATAGATGATAAAATATAAATACTAGCTATTGTACTTTATTTGTTTTTATTTTCAACAGGTTTAATTCTACATTTGTTCAACTTTGTAAATTTTCAGTAATTGATACAACATGTTTTTTCCTTCATGTATTAATATTCTTATTCTCAGCTGCTGGCAAAGTACAAAGAGTAAGAACCGAGAAGATCAATAAGCATAAACAACAGCATGCTTTCCACTTGATATCCCTTTGTTTTAGCAATTTTTTCAAGTACAAATTCATCATCATACATTAAAAAAAAAGGAATTTTGTAAAGATCTGTTAAAAACTGGTTAAACTGAAGTTAACCTGAGACATGCTGATACTTGTAAAAAAAAAATCATAATCAAAGTACCCAACACTGACACAACAAATCCCAAAATCTTCAAAATCAATTTCATGTTAACCCACATATTGTAAATAGGGATTGCAAGCACTCTTGAGTTTCATGAGACATGCTTAGAAATGACAAATTTTTAATGAAAGGCCAATAACTCTGGAAAGACATATCTAAATTTATTTCAAAATTTCAAGGGAGTTTATGGAACAAACATTGTGTAACATTTGATAAATATATGTGAAAGCAAAAATAAGATTATTGTAATATGATTTAATAATTGCTGAATTTTTCAACATTGAAAGTCCTATTAAAGATTGACAAATCTAAAAATCTTCTAAATGGAAGAGAGCATTGCTTCATGGAAACAAACATTTGCAGAAATTCTTTACAGATATATGCCTAAGCAAACATACAGTACTCCATGGAGTGCTCATTATTGCCCAATTATCTATGAATGTAGATTAAATTAAGCTACTTGAGGTATTGTGAGAGGTTTTGAAATAAACCAACAGAATAAAATATAATGTGTCAATAGTTGAACAAGTGTGTAATGTAGTGGAACATACAATCTATTGACAATAACAGAAGACATTGTAATAAGGATGACAAGAAATGACAATACATCACAATTTGAGACAAAACATAGTCTGTATTATATCACAAGTAATTTGTCTTAATTTTTTTTCAGCTATTTTGTGATACATGTATATATTTGTAGAAACAACTAAGAAAAAACACTTATCATTTTGATAATAATATATACCTAAAGTCTAACTTACTTTACTCTAAAAATGAGACTAATAATTTCTAAGTACAATAGAACTATGATGTGCTTGGAGCCTGAGAATACACAAATTTACAATCTCTCAGTACAAACAATGACAAAATACACAAACATTGAAAAAACAAACTTTAACAAGACAAACTATTCAGACAATAACAAAATATCTAAAAAACAATTTCTAATGGTTCATTAAAATTAGGGACACCTAAGAGTATATTGTCACTGTTAGTTTAAATCAGTACACTGCTATATCACAGTTGTAAGTCATTGGGCTTTCTTTATTTTTTAAATATAATTCCTTAAATAGTTTGAAGTAATAAAAGTAAATAGTTTATTTTTGTTTCTAATTTATGGTCAAAATTTGTGGTACGGGTATGTTTCCTTTCAAAATGTTCTCGACAATATGAAATTCTAGGTAAATACAGAATATAAGATCTCATTGCACCTCAGGTAAATAAGTGACTTTGTGATTGGTTTAACGCCGTCATGTGGTGACCCCTAAGAATCTGTAGGGGGTCAGTAGATTTCCTAGGGGTATCATGACGTCACTTCTACTAATATTGGTGATGCCATCTATTAATGTTATTGTATTTCATTGTTTATTTTTATACATAAGTCAGCAGGAAAAGTCATGTGTACGATAAATTTGTTCTACGGTTCACTACAGACAACCTATGATCCATAGAGGCTTAGTAAAATCCATGGGTGAGGCGGAAACAATAACATGTACAAATGTATATCTAATTAAAAAAATAAGAAACTGATGAATAGATCTTCAAAACTAACCTATCTAGGAAAAAACTTAATAACTAGATAAAGCTCTGAAAAACTCATATGATCAATTGCACTAAGAAGTTAGGCAGTGCACAGAAACATATACTGACAAGTTTTTTGTATGTTTTACTTGAAGTTAAGTATATCTTATATTCACGTTATGTTGGAAAATTTCTACTTTGAAACAAATCCATAAAGGTCTTATTTAAGATGATATACAATCAATAAATATTTGTAGTTAGAAATGTTTTATATAAAACATGGTGTTATGTAAGACTGGAAAAGAAATAAAGACATAAATCTTAACTAATACTTATCTGGCAATGTAATTTGGAGCATTAATGTATTTTAGGATTTACTAGTAATGGCACACATTTATATAAACATCACCTTATTATTTCTAAAAATGTTAGGATTTCTACTATATACATCACCATGAATTATTGTACAATTTTTCAGATGAGAAAACAGAAAGCTTAAACAAAATGTGTATTAATTCAAAACCATTGTCTGCAATTTCAACATTATGAAAAATTTAGCTATCCCTTTAAATACTCTATATCTAAATCTGACACGAGACAACTTATCCAATATCTTCAGAAAGTGGACGGTTTCAAGTATTAAATGACTAGTAATGCATGACTTGTATGGAGGAGGCTTATTGTAAAATGACTGAACTGCCCTTTACCATGAATAAATGAAATTGACAAAGTTTTTATGAAGTGATACATCATTATTTGATATTGCAATACTGGTTTTTGTCCTTTTTAAAATTCTAGTATTCTATCACAAATCTAAGGAAACTGCTACATGATGTATTAAGTTGCACAAGTTCCCGTTGATGAATTATAACTGCCATTAGATCTCGGATTCCTCAGCCGTATCTGGGACTAGATATTCTCTGTTTTCATATGTCCAGAAGTCATTCAAATCAGTTAAAATACTGACCACTGTATCACCTTTACCACTGAAATAAATCATTGTATTCAGGATTAATTTACAAGAACTTAAGATTTTACCCACTAAATCCTGAAGATTATTTTAGCATTTGTCTTTTGCTCTCTGTAATTTTTAGTTTATAATAAAATTTAACAACAAATGTTTTGAACAGATAAGGATAGGATTGAGTACCTAAACAGCAGTAAAATCAAAAATTCTGAAGAAGCTAAATCATTTCCATTTGTCTTTTTGTTGATTGCATGATTTGCAATTGACTTACGAAGCTTCATGTATTGTTAGAAGTAACTTTTTTATGGTGTGCAACATTTTTAACCATTTTTGTTTTTCTCATTTGATTGAAATCAATTTAGTAGTGTTAACATAGAACCTACAGGGGCGGATTCAGGTGGGGGCGTGGCGGGCATGCGCCCCCCTCCCCTAAAATTTTCAAAGCATGGGTTATCCTCAACTTAATAAAGAATATTTCTATAATTTTACCTCCAAAAAAATTTATGTTTGCACACCCCCCTTACCTAAAATCCTGGATCCGTCCCTGACTTAGATGTTAAACCAGAAATCAAACTATTCTTATGAATATCAAATACAAAAGCATTTACACAACACACACATCTAAGAGATTTTAGCTGGAGTTAGCAGACTACACAACCATTTACACAACACACATCTTAGAGATTTTAGCTGGAGTTAGCAGACTACACAACCATTTACACAACACACATCTTAGAGATTTTAGCTGGAGTTAGCAGACTACAAAACCATTTACACAACACTAATCTAAGAGATTTTAGCTGGAGTTAGCAGACTACAAAACCATTTACACAACACACATCTAAGAGATTTTAGCTGGAGTTAGCAGACTACAAAACCATTTACACAACACACATCTAAGAGATTTTAGCTGGAGTTAGCAGACTACAAAACCATTTACACAACACACATCTAAGAGATTTTAGCTGGAGTTAGCAGACTACAAAACCATTTACACAACACACATCTAAGATATTTTAGCTGGAGTTAGCAGACTACAAAACCATTTACACAACACACATCTAAGAGATTTTAGCTGGAGTTAGCAGACTACACAACCATTTACACAACACACATCTAAGAGATTTTAGCTGGAGTTAGCAGACTACAAAACCATTTACACAACACACATCTAAGAGATTTTAGCTGGAGTTAGCAGACTACACAACCATTTACACAACACACATCTAAGAGATTTTAGCTGGAGTTAGCAGACTACTTTATAAACATTGAACAAATAAAGTGAAAAGGCAACCTGCTAGAGAAGGAAAACAAAGTTGTACTTATCTCAACTTACCTCACAATTAAATCTTGTAGTGTTAATTTTAATGGATCCTTAGGTTTGACCATGTCAAATATTTCATCTTTCACATCTTGAAATGATATAGGTTCTTGTCCATGAAGCTTCATCTGTTCTTGAATAGCCTGAAACAAAATATATGGAAAATTTAAACAATTTCATGATAATAATTACTTTGGTAGCAAGAATGTATAGTTTCAAATATTGTCTACATCTGAATTCATGTTTCATGTAGAACATAAAAATGACTGAGTAATGGACATCTCATTCCATTAAATTTATTCACAACTTTTATAGACTCAGGACTATTTAGAGCTTGACATATTGATATGGACTCAAATGACTGAATGTTGCCTTTTAGGTGTCCTTTGGTTACTTTTGTTATTTGGTTGGTGTCTAACTGCGTTTTACCCCACATCTTCTTTTATTTATTTATTCCAATAAGAAAACAATCAAACAACACATGTTGACTTAACTATTTAGTTTATGTAATGAGTCCATCTTTTGTGTTATTCTAGTCTTAAAATTTTAAATGAAAAGCATTATTTATTTGATTTACTTTTTTACATATATTTTAGTAAAATGATTATAAATACTTCTAATTAATTTTCTTTTCAAATTCATGACAATCAGCTAAAATTCAATCTTAGAATAATAATCCTAACATTTAGACTCACAATGAACAGGAAAATTGTGGATATCAATCACTTACCCTAAAGAAATAATTAAGAGCAAACACATTCAGGTATCCTTTATGTTGGACATCTAATATTCTAAATAAGTATCTTAATGCTTGTGGTTCCTTCTTATTTTCTAACGCTAATACAAAGTCTAGGTAGGTTTTGTAGTCCTGTTATAAACAAATAAAAATAAACTATTATTGTAAGAAGTCAGTCATTTGTAACAGGAGAGACTCTGAACAAAACCTAAACATTGTAAATGTTTATATTATACTAAATTTCCTTTTTCGTTTCAGCTATCAACATAATGTACATGCAAAGCAATTACCATCTAAAGGCTTCATAATATGAAAAGGTAAGGAGTTGTGATGACAAAAGTGGGTACTGAGATTTAAGTTTAAAGAGGAATAACTCAGGAAAAATTTAATACAACTGAACACCATATGCTTATAGACATGAATAACGTGCTTCATTGAGTCTCACATTATATAAGCTCCATGTAAATATAATAAGCCATGCATGGGGTGGTATCAACAAAGGATGGAAACAGAAATAGGTAAAATAAATAAAAATGTTAAAATTCATAGGAAATGACATTGAAAAAATCTATCCACAAGTAGATTTGCATATAAAGAGAATCTGACAATATTCCAAGTTTCACATAAACATACTTATGCATTACTATGAAAAATTTCAACAAGGTAAGTAATAGATGGTGTCTGAATATCTGTTCATACTGGCATATCTATGTAGGATTACAATCCATACCATATGCACATCTGGATTTTAAATCTAACCATACAACAAGATTCAAGGGTTGCCATTACAATGAACCAGGATACAGGTGTGTGATGACAAGTCAAGTAATGAGCATAATAAAATTTTAAAATCTTAAAGGAGCATAATTCTTAAACATTAAAGGATAAATCTTGTTCACCATAGGTTTGCATATAAAGATCAATATGCATAGATTGAAGCAAATGGGAAAAGACAAATAAGTTGGTAGGGAGAGAAGAATAGACAGACACATTTTGAAATACATCTCCAAAAGAACTTTGATTACTGAAGGTTAACAAAACTTCAACTACTCCAAGATAGTAAATTGTACTACTAAATATATCTCACCATTTCTCCTTCATAAGTTAAACATTCCTGAAAAACTCTATCTAAAAATACATCAGTTAGGGTACCAGTACCATATCTAAAATGAAAAGACAGTAGCTGTACTATATTTTTTGTTTTGTTTGACAAATAGATTATACGAAATTGATTTAATATCTTTACGTTTTTGTCTTTTCTGCAAGAGACAAAAAAACTATTCTAATACAATAATTTGCTCCTTTTGAAATATCAAAATATTTTCACTAACAATCAACATTTATATCCAAAGTCAAAACTTACACTGAATTACATGTAAATGGTGAATTGCTAAAAAAATACCAAATCACAAAGTTCCTTAAAACTTAAATTTCAGGAGATGTTTATAAAAATTAAATATGTGTCTACTACCAAATATTTTTGTCATTCAAACTTCTGCAAATATGGTTTGATCTATAAAGATAACTGGTCAATATTTCAAATACAAATATTTGTTATATTATTGATAAATATTGTGAAGATACAAAATAAAAAAATTAGAGACGAATTTCAATTATATTTGCTATAAGCCCAATTTTATGACAAGCCTGTATGTTATAAACCAACTCTACTGTATATCCATGACATTCTTTCTTGACTATCAGCATCAAACAATTGGTTTTTTTTTATCTCAATTACATCAATAACACCAAAATCCACAAAAATTAATACCCCACAAATAGATATAAATCCACAGTAACATGAACTGTACAAGTACTAACCTTGCTAATTCTTCTTTACTTAACATGCCATTATGGTCTTTATCTAAATTTAAATATTGCCCATAAACTCGTAAAGCTGAAGGTGCAGAAAACCAATTAGACTCCTGCATTTCCTTTGACAAATCTTCATCTCTAAGCTAAAATACACAAGATAGTGTTACCAAATAGCTTTAGATACATAATGGAATGATTTGATGACAGTTAAAAATTATTGAAAATGACTCAAAGGTAGAAGTTATCAAACTGTTGGTGAGTAGTTAATGTTTCATGGATGTTTACTCTGCATTAACTTTATTAATATCAAAATTTATGATAAAATATAAAACTGAAAATTATAACAATTTTCCAAATTTAAAATTGATGTTTTGGAGTATTCCTTCTATACCCCTCTAAGTTTTTCAAACTGCTCACTTCAGAACCACTCAAGTCAAATGTGTCATGAACATTTAAAGGTAAATTGTTTGTGAATAAAGTACACATTCTATTATTTTATTTTTCAATTGTCATTTAAAAGTCCATTTCATGTTTTATAAATATACATTTTAGAAGGGATTTTTTTGATAGTGGCATCTGCAGTGATAGTGGGTGTGTTCTGAAAATTTTCATTCTAGATACAATTATACCAGGAACAAACACCAAAATTTGAAAATGTTATCATGTAAAATTAGTCCTCAATATAAGTCTTTCTAAATATATACTCTCATTTTCTTACAAAACCATTATGTCTTACCTCTAATAAATCATCTAGAAAACTACAAGCTAATATATCCTGAATTTTAATTCTACCAGTCCTCATTGGATCCAGAAAAAAGAAGAATTTTCTAACAGCTGTACATACATAGAATGAGTAGAAAGATCTCTCCAATCCATTTAACTGAAAAATAACCAGGCTTAATTATATTGTAGCTGTTTTAATTAGGTGTTATGCTAAAGGAAATTTTCAGCTGTGCAATAAGCACAAATTTTGTCATTTTAAAAAAGTTAAATCGTGTTTACGTAATTCTGTGTACAATGTGAAAAAAATATCTGCTTAACATGATTGAAAAAAATGTCTTTACTGGCAATCAGGAACATAGATCCTATTGTATCTGTGGTAGTGATAGCTGGTAAAAGGGTTTGATACTTGCAAAAAAAAAGTTTCTCTTAACAATTCAGTACTCTTTGTATATAATGACAGCTATATATACATACAAATTTTGTCACTTATGTATATTTTTCACTGCTTTAATGACAATGATATTTTTGCCATATTGATGTCTGAAGGATCAATCATATTCAAGACAGTTTCAGTAGAATTTTCTTCATGTAAGTGTTGAGAGAATAGGTCTTCTAACCAATCTAAAAAAAATTTCTAAGTCAAATTAAGCATAAATCAAATCACAGTAATGAGTTTAATCCCTGTGTAACCTACCTGTGGAAGAGTTGGAATCAATTCTAGTATGTAATTTTCTAAATCCTACAAAATATCAAATAATATCAATAACTATGACATGCATATTTTTTTTAGCTGCAACATGAGGGTACATTTGCAATTACCCCCAAACTCAATTCCAGCTTTCCCTTTGTGATATGGAACCTTGTAGTACAATTTCATAAAGATCCATACACTTACACACAAGTTATTGTCATGACACTAGAAAAACACTTGTTTTTTGCCCCTTTTATTTGGCCCCTTATTCCTAAAATTTTGAGGCAATTACCCCAAAATCAATCCAAGCATTCCCTTTGTGATATGGAACCTTGTGGTACAATGTCAGAGAGATCCATACACTAACACACAAGTTATGTCTGGAAGTTACAAAAATGCTTATTTTTGGCCCCTAATTCCTTCACTGTTGGTACCATAAACCCCAAAATCAATCCCCACCTTCCTTTTGTGGTATTGAACCTTATGGTAAAATTTCATAGAGATCCATTCACTAAAAGTAAAGTTAGAGTGCGAAAACCAATGTGTCTTCACTCGACGACGACAAATTCTTTGCAGTCGTATAAAAACTGCATTTCACCCCTATGTTCTATTTTTAGCCATGGCGGCCATGTTTGTTGATGGATCAAAATTTCGGATACAATTCATAAACTAGATTCCTAAAGGAACATTCTTCAAAGTAAAGAAGTATTAGGCACAATAGTTTCAGAAGAGAAGATTTTTAAATGTTAGCAAACTTGATGAACACATTTCGTAAAATTGTCTTTAAAGGGCAATAACTCCTTAAGGGGTCAATTGACAAATTTGGTCATTTAACTTTTCTGTAGATCTTACTTTGCTGAACATTATTGCTGTATACAGTTTATATCTATCTATAATAATATTCAAGATAATAACAAACAAGAGGCTCTGAAGAGCCAGAATCGCTCACCTGTATTACAGAGGAGAAGATTTTTAAATGTTAGCAAACTTGATGAACAAATTGTGTAAAATTGTCTTTAAAGGGCAATAACTCCTTAAGGGGTCAATTGACAATTATGGTCATATTTACTTTTTTGTAGATCTTACTTTGCTGAACATTATTGCTGTTTACAGTTTATATCTATCTATAATAATATTCAAGATAATAACAAAAAACTGCAAAATTTCCTTAAAACTACCAATTTAGTGGCAGCAACCCAACAGTTGTTCGATTCGTCTGAAAATTTCAGGGCTGATAGATCTTGACCAATTGAACAATTTTACCCTAAGTCAGATTTGCTCTAAAAGCTTTAGTTTTTGAGATATAAGCAAAAAATTGCATTTGACCCCTACGTTCTATTTTTAGCCATGGCGGCCATGTTTGTCGATGGATCAAAACTTTGGATACAATTTATAAACTAGATACCCTAAGGAACATTTAGATAAAGTTTGAAGGTATTTGGCCCAGTAGTTTCAGAGGAGAAGATTTTTTAAATAGTTTACGACGACAGACGATGACGACAGACGCCAAGTGATGGCATAAGCTCACATGGGGCCCTTCGGCCCCGGTGAGCTAAAAATCTAATTTATCGAAATCCAAAACAAGCTTATCCAGTGAATAGCTCATATTCTGTAAGGTAGAACAAGTCTAACTAGAAAATTGTTTCCAATAGTCATATTAGTCATATACTTACTTTAACAACATTGTTTTGGTTAGAAATGTGTTTAATGATAGGAAAAGAAATGATTCTTAAGTTTTTGATATTATCTGGCAATACTTTATTGCACATTCCATTATGTAAAAGACATAACAATCAGTCATATCAAACTTTATTTCGCACATATAGGCTAATATAAGATGGACGGACAATAGTATATCATGCTCCATTTTTTACCAACCTTTAGACATATGGTATGATCCCTAAAAATCATTTCCTTTTGTCATGGATTGCTGTTATCTAGTACATTTTGTTTATTTAAAATTTTTATTTTGCAGTGAAAAAATTAGTGAAATTTATGAATAAATGTAGCAAAAGATTTGTAAATAAAAAGATTTTATGCAATTATGGAACTTTAAAAAAAAATGAAAATATGACTGAAATTTATTTTACTTATTTAAGCAATTTGCTGAAAAGTCATGAATAAGTTAAATTTTGACAGAACTTACAGATTCTTTGAGATAGCCTTGTCCAGCAACATCATACAAAGACAGACCAATTCTAGTTTGATGTAACCAGACTTTTCTCATCACATAGTTAAAGAACTGCATGATAGATATTCTGCCATAGGGATCTGTTTGTAGAAGTTTACAGAACACTGATGCTGAGAAAAACTGTCTGTAAATAAAATAAACAAACTATGTTTCAAAGAAGAAATTTGTCAGTTGTTGATCAACCTGGACAAAACATAAACAAAAAGTATAACTCATTACTACACAAGTACATATTAAAGTTGGCTCAACATCTGAAAGAAGAGCAACAAAAGTAGCGATTAGCACAGTTTTCATGAAAAGTTCAAGGGCTATATTGATATCTTAAGAAATTAAACCAGAATAATTTAATTTTGGATGTAACGCTTCTTCTGATTGGCTGACGTTGTTATGTTTATCAGCTCATAGACATAATTTTGTCATGTGACCCTGACGTCATCAACGTTTTTTTATTGTTTACTCCGGTTTAAAATGGAATTTAGAATTAAATTATAGGAAATGACTGTAATATTTTTTCTGTCTATTCGAAATAACATAAAAAATGTGGTGCACACTTTAAATAACCCGCTACGCGGGTTATTCAGTGTGCACCACATTTTTGATGTTATTTCTTCATAGACAGAAAAAATATTACAGTCATTCCTTAAATAATAAAATAACTTGATCTGAAATTCATTGTTATCGTATTACAAAACAAAAAAAATTAGAGCAATATCTGAAAGCATTTCAATTATATCTGACAACAAAAGGCTAAACATCTATCACTTTATATATCAACAAATAATTTAACATTTTACAACTGTTAATTCATAAATGTTTGCAAAGTTTTTATTATTCAGACAATTCTGGTGGGATAGGATTTGCAAAAATAAAACCTTGCATTTAAAAATTTCATACCATTATTTGTATTCAGCATTGTATGAAATCGTAATAGCTAAATTAACAGTTTAGTTCAATGTCCAACAAATCACAATAATAAATGCATGCAAACATTTCTGAATTCACAGCATTTACAGTAGTTAAATAGTTATAACAATTCCCCCTTAAAAATGAATGTTATTTCTTAAACACATACTGGCATTTTGCTCCTGCTTCTGAGCCAACTTTCTGGAAATCTTCATAGTTAATCATCTGATCTTCTCCAACTATTGGCGGGGTGTGGTGTTGGTCTAACAGAAACCAGAGACGCTAAAAATATACCAGTTATCATAGAACGATGAAAAACTAATAAAGAATTCTTTGGGGTGATCAATGTTAACTTGGGTTCTATTAACAAATAGTTAATTTAAAATTTTACTTAGTTGACAGAAATTTAGTTTCTTTGAGAATGAGGTTAAAACTTTATGTTTGTATCACCTTAGTAGGAAAATGTCAACTGAAACTTAAAACAAAGCTACCTATAATCCATTTAATTTTACTGAACACATTTTACCCCTTTTCAAATAAGGCATTGTCCATCTATTGTCATTAAGTTAGACTATTTGAGAGAAACAAAATTATAAGCAAAATACTTGTATATAAAATCTGTTAAATTCCTTTTAGTTTTTATTTTATGAACATGTTCAACCCCTTATGTGAGTATGTATTTTAAATTGCTAGTCATACGTCATACCTGCAGTTCATCATTATCTAGAAGTTCTCTACTCCTTCTCTGTAAGAACACCGCTCTGAAATTATTTATAAGTGATATGTATTTTAGTGAAAGCATATGAAGGCTTAATTCGAGCAAAGTTTAATTACCAAAATGAAATACAAAGTTATATTAATTTTGTTCATTGCATTTCTATGACAGGACACAATAACTAACATTTTCTATAAAAAAGGATTAATATCAAGTTATTAATTTAAATGTCTACAAGTATAAACGAAATAGTTGGGATGATTTGATAGTGATTCCAATATAACACTCTTACTGCTTACTCCAGCCATAACTTGATAAGGTACCCTAGATCTGATGTATCAAAACTTAACTTAATATCAGTATACCAAATAAGAAATGTAGTGATTCCAATATAACACTCATATTGCTTACTCCAGCCATAACTTGATAAGGTACCCTAGATCTGATGTATCAAAACTAAACTTAATATCAGTAAACCAAATACAGAAATGCGTCACAAATGCATTGCATTCTATTTTTTTTTTAAATTGCATGCTCTATTTGTGAGATTAAAAATTAATAATCAGCAGCCCAAAGTCCTGATTAATAATATAAGTTAAAGGTTAAAACATTCATTGACTCATTCTCTCCATATCATGAATAATAAAATATGGTCAAAGCTTTGTAAAAAAAAATTACAAATATACATGGAACTTTTACTAACTAGATATCATTGAGATGAGAGCCATCTCTGTGGGCCCCGCTGTGAATAATGTGTGGTAAAAAATTTGTATCTTTATCATTGGACATGGGGTTGTCAAATGAAACCAAAGTTTTTGACCTTGACCTTTGACCTAGGAAGTTGTACATAAATTGTGACACACCCTCTGGTGTTGGTTTATATACATATCAAGTATAAACTTTGAAATCATAACGGTTCTCAAGATATATAGCGGACACGATCTTTACCATAGGACATGGGGTTATCAACTAAAATCAAAGTTTTTGACCTTGACCTTTGACCTAGGAAGTTGTACATAAATTATGACACACCCTCTGGTGTTGGTTTAAATACATATCAAGTATAAACTTTGAAATCATAACGGTTCTCAAGATATATAGCGGACACGATCTTTACCATAGGACATGGGGATGTCAACTAAAACCAAAGTTTTTGACCTTGACCTTTGACCTAGGAAGTTGAACATACATTATGACACACCCTCTGGTGTTGGTTAATATACATGTCAAGTATAAACTTTGAAATCATAACGGTTCTCTAGATATAGAGCGGACATGATTTGTTACGGACGGATGGATGGACAGACAGAGGGACAGACGGACAGACTGATCACTATAGGGCGGCCGCCATTCGGCAGGGCCCTAATAAAAAAGTGGTTCTCTTTATCAAATTTTTACAATTGCCACTTCTTGCCATATAGTTGAGGTAAATTGACATTTCATAGTGTATACAAATGCAACTATGAAAAAAATATTCATAACTATCAATACATGTTATTGAAGGCCTCACTGTGACTTTGAGATGAAGAACAGCAATAAAAATGCTGTTCTTTTGCTTTTTGTGAGTTTTTTTGCTGTGCATGTACTGATTTTGTGTCATGGGTAGATACCCCATATCCGTTGTTTTTCTATTGTCTATTGCTTTCATTTTTATGTGTCTACAAAGGCTCTAATTAAAGTTTCAAAATACCTGTAGTTACAAATCTACACATGTATACATACCTGGATTCTTCCCTGAGTTTAAGTAACAAAGGTTCTTCTTCGGTAGGTAGCTACAAAAGAACAAAAAAATATTTCACAAAAATTTATTTGTTTATCTAATCAACTTTTTAGAGCTATTTTCCTAACGCTTGTAATTTAAAGGTTTGGTTGACTTGCTTGCTTTGTTTGTATAAATGGTTGCTCAAGCATTGTAATTAAGATTGACATCTGCAATCAATAGATAGGCGGGGCTTCAGCTTATGGACAGAATTTCTAAGCCCCCTGCAACACATCGCGCTGGGAACAAAAACACATATTAATTTTTATTTAGAGAAAACAGGTAATCAGAAATTATATGATTACTTAATGCATTAAAGTGGTCACATAATTGCACATTTGTAAATATAATAAATTGCTTCGCTGAGCGCAGCTGGATACGACGGCAGTGTTAAAATTTTATTGATTTCTATTTACTTATACTAAAGTTATTATCCGGAAACCATCTGTCTTCGGACGACGCTGACGACTACACGTCTACGACAACGTGATACCAATATACGGCCAAAATTTTTTTAATTTTTGCGGTCATATAAAAATCAGTCATTAACTTCATTTCATATACATTGTACATATAACATGTAAAAAATGTCTAGGTTAATTGTTACCAGCATAGTTTCAATATGTATACAAACATTTCTTTTTCTATCAGACTGAATACCAGTACTCCTGATTATATAATTTGAACTTGAAAAGACAGGAACCACAGTGCAAATGGCTTTCTAATTTCAACTTTCCTTGTAATGATATTCATGGATAAATGATAGGTCAATATTATATATGTTACAAACCTTAACATAAAGACTAGGAATATTCTTATACTCTTCATTAATTCCACGCCAATTCTGATAGTACTCATTGAAGATTTCGAAATCCTCTGCTTTTATCTCTTCTGTATGTCTTTTTTCTATTATAAATAAAACATAAGATAAAAATCTTCAGAATAAGAAGCAATAGGAATGCATAAACATGATAAAGAGGTCAATTCATATTGAAAATCATTAGTCCAAGGGCTCTCCTCATCAGACACAGTTATTGAGGCTTTCTTAGGGATAATAAGGTTCTTGATTTCTTTTTAAAAACAGATAAAATATTAGTGTGATATTTCTGTAACTTTCACATAGACATTGCTGTATTACTATACATGATGAAACTAAGATCTTTATTGTCTCCAAAAATTAATCTTAAAAGGTTGTTTTGGGGGCATTTTGTATGTTGAAACATATACTATTTTTCTACTCTTAAGAATTTCTTATTGATTTTGAAAACAATTATCATGATTATATGACACTGAAGATTAAAAGTTGTAGAGTGTATTTAAATTCAATTCATAATTTAATATTTTTCAGAGGGCATTGAAAATGTACTTTTTCAACATAAACAAATAAAAAAACTTATTTTCATGAAATGGGGATTCATTCTTAATTGCAGATACACTTTGTGTATTCAAATGACTAAAATTGTGAGACATATGGGGAATAAACTAAAAAAAATAAATGGGGAATGTGTCCATGGGACACAGATGATGCTCCAGCTTGCATATAATGTTATAATGGGCCATAACTTAAGAACTGTAAAAGTGACACTACACAAATTTGAACTTGATCTGAGTTTTGTGGTAATAAGCATTGTTTATAAGTTTCATAACATTTAGTTGACATAAACTTAAATTAGGGAACAGAATGAAAAATTCAGCAATTTTTCCATTTGTAAAGGGGCATAACTCTAGAACAGTAGAAGTGATGCAATCAAAATTCAAACTTGATCTGTGTATTGTGGTAATTAGCATTGTGGATAAGTTTCATAACATTTGGTTGAGGCAAACTCGAGTTAGTGAACGGAAACTAAATAAACTGCTTCGCTGAGCGCAGCTGGATACGCCCGCAGAGGTCCAACCCTGAACAGTTGGGGCAAAAATGGACACAATATTCAAGCTTGATACAGGTCTGAATTTGGATTGTAATTAAATATTTGATATATTATAGGTTTCTGAATAAATGTAGACATAGAACTTAAAATTGGTTATATGAAAGATTTCTTGCTGTTGTGCAATACTTAGTAAATCTGTTGTCAGACTATTAACAAATAAAATCTTACAACTCTGAAATGTAAAATCGAAAATTTATAAAAATCAAAATGGAGCTTACAAAAATAGATATAAACAATTTACCAAAGTCTCATAAAAAATGCTGAAAGCATTTTTGAGTTATTGTCCAAATCCCCCTTTTTGTAATGAATAAAACCCCATAAATATATATTCTGAAATTTATAAAAATCAAAACGGAGCTCATGTCGATAGAAATAAACAATTCACCAAAGTTTCTTGCAAATTGGTGAAATTGTTTTTGAGTTATTGTCTGAAACCTGGAAATTCACCCCTTTTTTAATGAATAAAACCCCAAAACTCGGAAACGGTAAATCCAAAATTTATAAAAAACGAAAGGAGGCTCACGTCAATAGATAGGAACAATTCACAAAAGTTTCATGCAAATTGGTGAAATTTTTTTTGAGTTATTGTCAGAAAACTGGAAAATCCCCCCTTTTTTAATGAATAAAACCCCAAAACTTGAAAACGTTAAATCTGAAATTTATATAAAACGAAAAGGAGCTCACATCAAAAGATATGAACAATTCACAAAAGTTTCATGCAAATTGGTGAAATTGTTTTTGAGTTTTTGTCCGAAAACTGGAAAATCCCCCCTTTTTTAATGAACAAAACCCCAAAACTCGGAAATGGCAAATCTGAAATTTATAAAAAACGAAAGGGAGCTCACGTCAATAGATATAAACAATTCACCAAAGTTTCATGCATATTGGTTTAAGCATTTTTAAATTAATGTCCGACATGTTGACGACAGACGGACGGTCAGCGGTATACCATAATACGTCCCGTAAACGGGCGTATAAAAATCAGCATTTTTGTTCATTTGTAAAGGAGCATAACTCTAAAATGGTAAAAGTGACGACACCAAAATTCTAACTTGATCTGTGTTTTGTGGTAATAAACATTGTGGATAAGTTCATAACATTTGGTTGAGGCAAACTAAAGTTAGAGAACGGAAACAAAAAATTCAGCAATTTTTCTGTTTGTACAGGGGCATAACTCTCGAACAGTAAAAGTGATGCCACCAAAATTCAAACTCGATCTGTGTTTTGTGGTAATAAGCATTGTGGATAAGTTTCATAACATTTGGTTGAGGCAAACTTAAGTTAAAGAATGGAAACCAATTTTGGGACGTACAGACGTATGTACGCAAGTACAAACGGACAAGGGTAAAACTTAATACCCCCTCTGCTAGGGCGGGGGCATAAACATGGTTTGCTCGGGTTAAGAGTTTTGAAATTATACTTACTGTTTTAAGTCAATCACTGATAACCTGTATTATTGAATAAAATGCTCCGCTGGGTGCAGCTTGATACGACCGCAGATGTCGAACCCTGAACAGTTGGGGCAAGTATGGACACAACATTCAAGCTTGATACAGCACTGAATTTGGATTGTGATTAAATTTTTGACACAGCATAGGTTTCTGACACAGAATGAATGTGGTCTAAGAACTTAAAAAAATTTAATTTACCTATTCAAACCATATCATTATTATTTGCTTTTATATATAAATCAGAAATAACCAATTTAAAATGGAAAATTTTAAAGAAAAAAAAAAGGAAAAAAAAATCCCCCCCCCCCAAATTTTTTGAACCCCCTTATGATTCATCACCCCCAACTCAATCCCAGCCTTCCCTTTGTGGTATGGTACCTTGCAGTACAATTTCAGAGAGATTCATACACTTGAACACAAGTTATTGTCTGGAAACTAGAAAAATGCTTGTTTTTTGGCACCTTTTTGGGCCCAAATTCCTAAACATTTAGGGCAATTACCCAGGGCTTCCAAAATTTCCTGACGACAGCCGGACATTTTTCAAAGAAATATTTTTGACGGTCAATGATCAGCTGGATACTTAAATGTAACTGAGAGGATGCATAAATTGATATATGTGTCTAAATAATTAGTAGTGTTATATGCAATAAAATTATTTATAACTGTATTGTTTTTCTTCATTCTAAAAATAAATAAAATATTATCCTCGGTATTGTGTCATTTTTCTGTGTATCGTAATACAGTAACCATCATTGCATCAATCAGCTTCAGTACCTGACTGTTCTCATGTTTTTGTTTCTGTTTATATAATCTATCTTCTCTCTGTGAGTACTTAACACTTTGTAAATTAAGGGTATCTTATTTGAAACTGTTGATGTTGGTTTTAATTGCAGTTCAACTTGATCATCAATACACTTGATACTTTTCTTTTTGTGTATTGATTACCTGACCACGTGACTTTTACAACTGATGCGGTATTTATAGATAACATTGAGGAGGCCCAATGAAGGATATTGTTTTAAACCGTGTAAAATCTACTGAACAGTAATAACATTTTTCTTTGTACAATTTCCCAACCTGATTTAGAAAATAAGGAATAAATAAAAACATACTCAGTTGATAAATAATTTAAACTAATTTTCAGTTCACCAGCTTTGAGGTATGATAAGTACAAAATTAAATGTTTTTGCGTAGCAGATCAGTTGACTCGTCGATCATAATTCCCACGGCGGGTCTTAACTTTACGTCGGACATCACCTCTTTCTCTATAATATCGGAAATTGTCTGAATAAATTCGGAGCAGGCATTGTTCTCTTGATATAATTTAGAAGTGATCACGGCACCATTTAACTTAGTTAAATCATTTATTGACTGAAATTTGTCCATTGGTAAGTTTTCTTTAGCAATAAAGTAAGAAACAAGGAACAAGGTGCACATTGCGTTGTCAGTCTTTTCATGAACTTTCTCAAATACTGATACAATTGGATTACTCTTGGAAGCTGTCTCTAATTTAAGAGCTAGAACGTGGTCATTGCTATTAGCATGCTCTACAACGGCTGACTTTCGAAAAGTTATTTTTAAGTTTATGTTTTTGTCAAATGTCACAAAACATGGCATTTAGCATACTGTCAAATCTTAACCATAAAAACAGTTGTAACCATTTATGAATAAAGTTTCTAGCATTTTTAGCAGATTTCGAATTTTGATCGGAATCGTCACGTTTACGTTTGCCCATGATGGCAGATTTGTAAAGTTCAATTTGAGACAAAGTCTTTATAACAGTCGGAGATTGTCATGATTGGATATTCTTCTTTATGATTTCAATTATAAAAACAGTTTTTAATATGAAAACAAGAATAGAGAACGCCCCCCTTATTTATTGGACAACTCAGCTTGGTATACCCAAGCGAAGCTATTCTCGGTGTTTTTCCTATATATTTCAATAAATTTTCCCCTTTAAGGGTACCCCAGTATTTAACATGATGTACAGTGTTAAATAAAATAATATATATCATACTTATTCATTTATAAATATCCTTATTTGAAGAATAACTTTTAAATATCAGGATACTTTTTTAAACTGAATGCTCATTTAAAATAATATCTATAAAGCGTAATTAAAAAGGATGTTGTTCCATACACGCTTACATGTTTGACCTCGTTTACCTGATCATCTTTATGTACATTGTTATGCATCATTAATTCTATTGATAAAGACAAGCTAAGGACACCTCATCAAAGGTAACAAACCTGTAATCAGTGAATGATTTATGGCTTCAATATAACTTATTAAAAGGGATAATTGTTTGACAGCTTGTTGTTATTTAAATAAAAGAAAACGTGTTTTTTCTACTTTTTATTGATGTACACAAGCTAAAGACCAAGCGGTACATTTATGTACCCAGAGGATTAGACTAACTGAGACACTTCAAAGTATCTGAAATATGCTGCATCTGTTTTATTAAACCCAATTATGACCGAAATATCTTTGTGAAATAGATTGCCACAATTATAAACTAAAATGTCCAAACGGACATTTTTATCGATCGATAGTTGGTAAAAATTGAAATGACCGTTTTATGAAAATGTCTTGAATAACAAAAAGTGGCAAACCAATAATATTTGACCGTTTGAGGCTGAGAGCAGCCGGACTTTTTATGAAAGTTTCCGTCAAGTCCAGAATATATGACCGTTTTGGAAGCCCTGCAATTACCCCCAACCTCAAACCCAGCTTTCCCTTTGTGATATGGAACCTTGTAGTACAATTTCATAAAGATCCATACACTTACACACAAGTTATTGTCATGAAACTAGAAAAATGCTGTTTTGAGGCTGTTACCCCCAAAATCAATCCCAGCCTTCCCTTTGTAGTGTTGGTACCTTGCAGTACAATTTCAGAGAGATCCATACACTAACACACAAGTTATTGTCTGGAAACTAGAAAAATGCTTATTTTTGGCCCCTTATTCCTTAACTGTTGGTACCATAACCCCCAAAATCAATCCCAACCTTCCTTTTGTGGTATTGAACCTTATGGTAAAATTTCATAGAGATCCATTCACTTAAACTAAAGTTAGAGTGCGAAAAACCAATGTGTCTTCGGACGACGTTGACGACAACATCATACCAATATACGACCGCAAAATGTTTATGCTGTCGTATAAAAATTAGATGACTATTGCACAGATTTATCAAGTAAAATATTGACCTTACTTGAATTCCTTTTATTTATTTAGATTTCATATTTTGCTTTCTCTTTTGAAAAAAAAGATCTTGTTTATCCTTAATTGTTTATCTTTCAGATATAATTTATAGAATCACTGTATGTAGTGCATTTCAAAAATAATAGGCAATGAATAAATCTATTATTTTTATATACCAAATATCAAATATATACATTTGTGAATTCAATAATGAGGTCAAGTATTTGTGTATTGAGGTGTATAATGAAGGGTCTGTTTAATTATGTAAGACTGAAGTTGATTAGTAATTTGGTTAATATGATTGGCATTTAAGGAGGTGGGACATTGTAAATAAGGCCCCACCTTGTCTCTCTGATTGTTTGGTGATCATGGCAGTTGTCAATCATACTGGTATTGTATCATTACTCTTACCTAATTAGAATGACAAATTGACAAAACTTAAAGACATACATACTTAAATAAATGCTCCAAATATATATTACAAATTTTTTCAGTTCATATGTGCATATGTACACAGACAAGAAAAAAATATGGAAATATATTTGAGTGTGTATACATTTTCTAGATTTAGTAGCTAATCTATGCTACTTCTTATTTGGAAGGCTGGTGCCTTAGGAAAGACTTGGAACAATAGTTCCAATCTTTCTTAAAACCTTGCTAAACTTTTAATAACAGACAAGAACTGAACAAACTAGAAGCTGGACTAATACCACTGCATCCTGTATTAATGCTATAGTATGTTATCTTTTTTCTATTAAACATAAAAAAATTACAAACGGCTCACAATTTCAGAAGTTTACAAATTTCCTCCATTTATCCTTTAAGAATAAATGAGGTGCTGTATACAGTACATGTGTATTTACCTTTTATGTTATGCGAAAAATTTAAAAAAACATCACCAGACTTCATCTTTTCATCAGATCTGTCTGACATTATTCATGATTGTTCAGTTATTTGTTTAAGAATTGCTTCTTCTTTTTAAAATTTAATGCAATGTAAAAGCTTTAATCCAAGCACATTTTGTATGAAGAGCAGAAGAGCTTAAAAATATGTGCAAACGATCAACAATGAATTGATGTAAAGGTTGTCATGAAGACTGGCCTAGTTGTAAAAGGTACATTTAATTGGGAATAAATTATAATTTTGGAATGAATGGAAATTAGTCTCTGCCAATCAAAATATCACGCAAGATTCCAGCAGAGCCATAGGCAACATATGTCTTTTTAAGTTTTTTGTTAAAACCTTCTTGTCATAATAATGAAATATAAATATTCAAAGTATATCTACACTGACTACAGATTTAGAACAATGAAATATAAATATTCAAAGTATATCTACAGATTTAGAACAACGCTTTGAGTTTAACTATTTACAAAGTTTTATCATCCTTCAACCCATTTCTTCCCAAATAGTATCTAATATTTTCAAATCAAATCATTGATATTTCAGATCAGACGTTTATCGTTCAAGTTTTATCAAGTCCACCTGTGTGTTTTCTTGCAATATCTCACTTTTATTTCTTTCAACATATTTCTTTAAAATTTTGCACCACTCCATGCTTTTCCTTTTCTGTGTTGGTGTTTTGGTCATGTTTTATCAGTAATACATGGAGGCATGGGGCGAAATACCAACAAAATGTTTATAATATCTAGAAACATGTTCCATCTTCCCTCTCCATTTTCATAACAGATGAGCTGATTGGCTGTTATGCCTCATGCGACACCGTTATTGAAAGGGGGAATAATTCATTTCTTGTCTCGACATGCAAACTATTTAGATTTGTATAATTGATTTAAACTTGTATTAACCTGAACATTTTAAGATTTATATTTTTTTGGGGAAAAAGACAGATATCTTATAATAAAAATTATGTTGAAATGGTAGAGTTAGTGTTTCATGTGTCTGTTATTTAAAGGATACCATATTTTTGTTGAAATTAATTAAAATAAATATTTTAATTAATTAATCTGTCTTTTTTCCCAAAAATATTATAAATCTTTAATTAATTTCTAATTGTTGGCAAATTATTTTCAATTGTGGTTAACTCATTTCTAATTGTGGTCAACTCATTTCTAATTGTGGTCAACTCATTTCATGGTCTTTAGGCTTAGCTGTGGTTATGATATGACTGAACCGTTGTGTCCCACAAAATAAAGTTCAATTACAAAGTTTCAATGGTACTTTTTGGTCCTAAAGCTCTTTAACTTTTTCAGTTTGTATACATCCTCGGCTTTCAAATATTCGGCTTTGAGCGTTCTCGATGAAGGTAAATCCGGAAAAGCCGGCTTCGGACGCATGAAATTAATAACGTGTTATTTTGGCGATTTTCTTTTTTCAAAAGTTCCCAATTAAATTTTGTACAAGTTTAAAAATATTCCGTTTTCCTCATCACTGAGGAGTTCTTTACCAGCTAAAAATGTTTATATTAACATTAATTGGTAGAGTGTACATTGTGTGTGTCTTAATGAGCTATAAGCAGGTATAGTGCTTGCTGCTCTTAACCTGTCCACATATCATGTACAGAGGTTGGAATGAACAATACATTTTCTGAAAAAGATGTTCATTTAAGCCACTACAGTTCAACTAGAGTCTGGCGTTAAATTTATGGGCTTTTCTACAACCACTGTATGATAATATGAAGGGACTTTCCTTATATCACGATTTAAATCATTTTTAAGCTAGTGTAATTTTTGATGGATTACTTTTTGTGGAAGGCTGTTCCTTTGACGAATGACAGACAGACGGTAGAAGGAATTTTGAAGTTCTACAATTACTGTTGATGTTTTGCTTTCATAACTTTCTATCTTGTCATGAGTGTACATTCATGACTAGTGTACACATTACTAGCATTTACTACTAATTCATTCTAAAAAAAACCAAAAAAAAGACAGATGAACACTCTCGGCCTTAAATCTACTCCTGCCACTGCAATCTCTCCCGCTCCCACTCAAGTGTTCAACTACAAACAATTCTCATTCCTGCTGCTTTCTTCTTGAACATACATGAAATATTTGCCACTTGACTTTAAGAAACCAACAATCAATCAATCATTACTGCTGACTTATACTTTTACAACAGCTAAATGAAGGTCCTTTAGTCCGAAGGTCCTTTAGTCCGTCAGTTCTAAGCTCCATTAATCTAACTGTTTGCTTGTCCGATGCGTGTATAATGCAAAAATATAGCCATTTAACAAAATTTGGTCATATACAATGTACCTTGAATTGAGATCACCGTTTGGCGGACTGTTAGGGGACGACTATTTGATATTCTGGGGGTGGGGGGGGGGGGGGGGGGGGACAGGAGGATTTGTTTTGGATCCGTTATTTATTTTTGTAGACTAAAAGGACAGATTATTTATTTTCTGTACTGTTGAAGCATGCCTGATTTTTCATTTTCATTAAAACAAGGGACTGATTATTTATTTTCACAATTATATTTATAATATTTGAAAACACACAATTTTCAAATTCATTTTTTTATTCTTAAATAAATAATACATGTAAAGTCAGTCATTATGTACCATTAAATCAGAATTAATCCTCCTCCTCTGGAAGTGAATCTTCTGAATTCTGAACTGCATATATTGCATACGTACAAGGTATTAAAGTTGGGCTGTAACTCGTCTCTTTTAAAAGTAATGGCAAAAATATTTCGGCAAAGGGTTTGGGGGCCGCTGAAGGCCCCAAGAAAATATAGAAAAATGATGCAAAATTGTGCTTTTCTGCGTGTTTCCCAGACCCTTTCTTAATCTGAAACACAAGTTCTGTTTTAATTATTTTTTCAACAATAATTTGGTCTCAAAGCAAAATATATAGATTCAGTGTAAGAGTTTTAGTTTTTAGGGACAACATCAAATATGTAAGATAAATCAGTGGCGTAGCTATCTAAGGCTCGACTAGGCACGTGCCTATACATAAATTTGCCAATTAGAGGTTCCAGATCTAACACTTTAACATTCTGCACAGAAGACAGGCGCTATAGGTTTTGAATATGATGGGCATTTTTTTTCTAAACAATGTAAATATTAAACATATTTCATTAAACTGGTCACAGAATCTGACCTGCACACAAAATATGAATATGCGTTGATTAAAATGAAAAAAAAATAATTCTCAATTAATGTGCTGCTAAACTCTGCTTGTTATTTTCTTTAGAAATCCGTTTAGTTGCACATCTTTCTCAAACAACCATTATCATGATAAAAAAATAAAATTAGAAGAATGTCTATAGGGCCTTTTACGTCTTGCGTCTTCAATTATTTGTCCATTGTTATTGTCCAATAGACAACTGTGTGTGAATGCGTGTAGTTTATTTAACGTACATACAAAACTTGTTTAACCCCGCCACATTCTACACATATACCTGTCAAAAATAATTAATATTAAATAATTTTAAAAGATTTATTTAATGTCGGGTAAACATATAACCAAGGAATTGTATATTTAAAAGGAATGGAAACGCGACAGACTTCAAAGAGTATGATGCATCTCTGTTTCGGGCGATGTGTTAATTACACCCCGTACCTACTTGTCTTACATTAGTTATCGAACTTGGCAATTTATTCTGACGACATTTGTCAAACTTTACTAGCGGTCATTGGTATAATATATATATATGTTAGCGGCAATAAGTGAAATTAGGCAATAAGCTAACACCAAGGCAGTAAGTCTATTCCCTAAATGATGTTAGGCATTATTCCTAAATCCTAGGATTTAAGCTTAAGTCCTGAAAAATGTCTCTAGGCATTAATCTTAATGCCTAAAATGTAAATGCGAGTAAATAAAAAGACATTTTTCAAAGTTAAAATACATTTAAAATTACATGATAAGAACTGAAGTTTAGAATGTCAATCTGATTTTTTTTTCACTGGAATTATGTGGTGAAAAATTGATGAAAACATATATTTAAATATCCAATAGTTTCAGTAAAACATAGTTTCACCAACTGCATCATCAGTGACGTATTCATGATGTCATAATATAAGTGAATTCGTAAAAACCTGATTTTTTGCAGAATTCTTCAAAATTTATGACATTTTTCTTCTTTATAAACCATACTCTTTACTTTTCAACAAAAAGTTCAATGGGCGAGGGTCGGCGCCACATACGAAATCATGAAAAAAGCTGAAAAAGTTGACAAATATATAAAAAAATGGACGAATTTTTTTTTTCTATTTCAGGATATATATTTATGAATATGAAGCAGTTATACATTTTTTGACCATACTTTCAAATATCACACATTTAGCAATACATACACATTAGATTTCTTTAATAATTGCATGAAGTTTAAAAATAAACACATATACAGGGCCCTGGCTCTTCTCCTTTTTCTTCAGTAGACATGTCACTTCAATGCTAAAAATACAGATTATGAGCCTGTTGTTCAGTGCTTGTCGTTTGTTGGTGTGGTTCATATATTAGACCGTTAGTTTTCCATGTTTTCCTGTTTGAATTGTTTTACACTAGTCATGTTGGGGCCCTTTATAGCTTGCTGTTCGGTGTGAGCCAATGCTCCGTGTTGAAGGCCGTACTTTCACCTATAATTGTTAACTTTTTGTACATTGTGACTTAGATGGAGAGTTGTCTCATTGGCACTCATACCACATCTTCTTATTTATATGGAGTGAAAAAGATTGCCTGGGGTTTAACAGTAATTGTTTTACAAATCCAATAAAATCAATGGAAAGATGATGTGAGTAAAAATTTCATATCTACATTTAAAATTGAGAATGGAAATGGGGAATGTGTCAAAGAGACAACAACCCGACCATAGAGCAGACAACAGCCGAAGGCCACCAATGGGTCTTCAATGCAGCGAGAAACTCCCGCACCCGGAGGCGTCCTTCAGCTGGCCCCTAAACAAATATGCATACTAGTCCAGCGACAATGGACGTCATACTAAACTCCAAATTATACACAAGAAACTAAAATTTAAAATGATACAAGACTAACAAAGGCCAGAGGCTCCTGACTTGGGACAGGCGCAAAAATGCGGCGGGGTTAAACATGTTTTTTGAGATCTCAACCCTCCCCCTATACCTCTAGCCAATGTAGAAAAAACCAACGTACAACAGTACGCACAGTAAAACTCAGTTTAAGAGAAGTCCGAGTCCAATGTCAGAATAGGAAACATAAGAAAATAAACAAAATGACAATAATACATAAATAACAACAGACTACTAGCAGTTACTGACATGCCAGCTCCAGACCTCAATTAAACTGGTTGAAAGATTATGTCTTCATCATATGAATATCAGGCACAATCCCTCCTGTTAGGGGTTTAGTATTATACCGTCATAAAATATATGAGAAGAACATAACCCGTGTCATGCCAACAACTGGTTTTAGAATAAATATGTTTAATTCCGATGCAAAGACCCTATAAGTGAATCAATATTAAAGCCAAAATATGCATTTTTTAATGACCTGACAACAGTATCGTAACTATATCCCTTCTTAATAAGTCTGTTTAAAGGTTTTGTTAGCTTTTGAGGTGAATACTGACATTTTTGTGCTTTGTAAAGAATATTACCATAAAAGATTGGATGTGAAATACCCGAACGTATAAGATGTCTGCATGTTGAGTTATATTTACGAATGATGTCCTTATACCGATGATAAAATTTAGTAAATGTTTTGACTAGTTTATGATATCGGAAACCCTGGTGTAATAATTTTTCAGTAATATATAAATTTCTCTCGCTAAAATCTAATACGTTGTTACATACACGAGCGAATCGTACAAGTTGAGATATATAAACACCATAAGATGGTGACAAGGGAACATCACCATCTAAAAATGGATAGTTAACGATAGGAAATGAAAAATCATCTCTTTTATCATAAATTTTTGTATTAAGCTTCCCGTTAATGATATAGATATCAAGATCGAGGAAAGGACAGTGGTCATTGTTAGTATTAGCTTTATTTAAAGTAAGTTCAACAGGATAAATTTCTTTAGTATACATACTGAAGTTGTCATTATTGAGAGCCAATATATCATCCAAATATCTAAAAGTATTGTTAAATTTTTGTATCAGATGTTGTTTCGATGGGTCTTTGCTGATTTTAGTCATAAATTGTAACTCATAACAATACAAAACTGGTCCGCAATAAGTGTTGCACAGTTAGTCCCCATTGGAATTCCGATAACTTGACGATATACGGAATCTCCAAAGCGAACAAAAATGTTATCAAGTAAAAATTCAAGGGCAGATATAGTATCAAAGCATGTCCAATTGACATAGCTCTTTTGTTTGTTGCTACTAAACAATGACCTAAAAGAGTTCGAACATATGTATTCGCATTCCGACTTTTTAAATGCCCATTTAATTAGGTGTGTGAATTTTTTCTTAATAAGAATATGAGGCAAAGTGGTATATAGGGTAGAAAAATCAAAACTTTGAACAGATTCAAAATCACCAATATATGCATGCAATTTATCAAGTACTTCCAACGAGTTTTTGACACCCCAAAAGTAGTTAATTCCACTATTTTCAAAGGCCTTATTTGAACAATTTATTATCAGGTTTTTGATTGTACCAAGTGTACTAGTAAGTAGAATAGACAATTTAGTAGTGGAACAATGACTTGAAGACGAAATAAATCTATATTTGTAAGGTGATTTGTGTAGCTTCGGAAGCCAGTACATAGTTGGGACTTTCATTGTATTTGGTTCTGCTTGTAAAGAAGTAGCTAATAGTTTATGTTTGTTACAGATATCGTTTTCTGAAAATGAAGTCAGTTGGAATGTTGGTGAATTCGTGATTTCCTTTTGCAGAACCTCAATGTAAAATTTACGTCAAACTATAATGATATTTTGTCTATTTTTGACCAGACCAAAACCAGCTCAACCAGTGAAGTGCGTATTTTCTTAAAATCATTTTCAGATATAATCATCAATCCCCCTCTTTTTATTAGATACAATCACTTGTTTGAAAATCAATTTTTGTAATAAATACAAGTAATACTAAAATTTGAAGGTTTGTTAAATTAATATATATCAATATTTGGAATATAATACAAAAAACACTTTATCAAGAATATTTCACCGAATGTACATTTACATGAAAGATAAAGCAAAAATCCCAAAGTTAACTTATTGCCTGAAATTATGTTTGGCAATAGGTTGAATAATCATCATCTGATTTCAGGAAATAAGTTTACTTGATGACTAAAAAATTCAGGCAATAACTTTATGCCTAGGAGTTAGCTTATTGCCTAGGATTTAAACTTAATGCCTAATTTTACTTATTGCCGCTAACATATACACCAAAAGAGTGACCTACAAATGTATGCCTTCTGAGTGGTAGACTTTCAATTTGGGTAGAAATGTTTTTCCCCCAGAAAATGGCAATTGATGAAGGTAATTGCATTGTTTTCAAAAGGTCATATTGGGAACCCGTACGCAAAAACGCAGTTGCATACACATCGAAAATTATTTTCTTTTTATCTTTTATACCTGTCAATTATGTGTTTTTTTCAAATTAAGTTAAGAGGAGGCTGATTATCATTGATATAACTATGTCAGGTAAGTTTTTATAACACATTTCAATTACAACTTGATGTAGTTCCTAACTGGGATACAATTTAAAGAAGTTTGTAAAGTTAGATAAAAAGTCCTTAAATAAAACAAAATTCAATTTTAAAACAAAATTACTAAATTACTAAATTACAAATGGAATGCAACACTAAGAGAATAAAGAAGGGCTATCAATGAACAAAAGACAAACCCGGGAACAGATAAAACACAAAACGACAAACAATAGACAAATAACACTGAAAACTAAAAATAAATGAAAAACATGGATCCCGAAAAACGTGGGCTACGTCAGAGGGTGAACAGAACTTGCTTCTTGCAAGACACTCGCCGTGAATACAATTTGATATGAAGACAAGCTTTTGTTTTTGAAATTTCCTACATGAGGCATTTGCCTAAATGTAGTTACGGCCCTGTAATAAAAGGGAGGTAAATGTTCCTGAGACAATATACCTCAAGTTAAATGAAACCCATTTTCAGGCATTTCAAGTACATTAATATTTATACATTGAATTATTAAAAGATTTGGGAAGTTTTTCCCGAAAAAAAAATATGAAAAAAAAAGAAATTTGGAAGAATCTGGTGCCATCTCATACTAATAGCATTTATAAAATGGCTTAAAAGACCTGCCGAGTTATTTATTTTCAATACATTTTAAGTCAGGTTATTTATTTTCAAACTACCACAGAACAAACCATTCATTTTTGTTATTTTCAAGGCTGAGTTATTTATTTTCAAAATTCTCCCCCCCCCCCCCAGAATTACAAATGGTCGTCCCCTTAGTCCCAAACGGTATCCTCAGCTCAGTAATAGTATAACACCATATATCTAGTATGTCAGAGATGTCTCTGGTATTGCTAATAAATCATTCCGCAACGTTTACCGCGTAATACGAGTGCGGTATTTTTACGGATGCTTTGTGAATAAGGTCCCTGCTGTTCTTAACATAAATATTCTTTATTTGAAAGTTCGTTTGGAAATATCCTTTGCAGACAAATGCTTACACAAAGTTCATGTTATCATTACAGACTCGAACTCTTCTAAATCTTTCTATAAGTTACCTTTGAAAACTGGGTCGATATTACAACTTGAATTTTAGGGCAAACCGGCATTTCCTATAGTATCACTTGGCCATCTGGCGAGCTTTAACTGTGATGCTTCGGTTCAAGTTGATTTTTATATAAACCTTAATATGTTTGTCCGGTTTCCAAGGTATGTAGGCAGTACACTTTTACGGAGGTGCTCGGTCTTGAGCATATTTGATGCTGCTAACAAAATCGGAAACACTGATAGACTGAAAATACGTGCCATCATGAATAAAAAGAATTTCATTCGTCTTAATTATCATTCAGGTCATTTGGTCATATTAAACTCCCAAATTTTCAGCGTATTTACCCACCCCTGGCTTTCAAATATTTAGGTTTGAGCGTTCAACCTGGTGAAGGGCAAGCCAGAAAAGCGCTCAGTCGGACGCAATAGATTTATCTAGTCACGGTTCATTTTTTTCAGTCCAGACATTTTGACAACTTTTGCTGAAACAGATCAATCCAAGCAGGGGTTTAGGAACCGGTGCATGGGCAGAAATGTCCCACTCTCAAAAAGGGGGGACTATATTTATTGAAAGACAACACAAACTAACCTCCCGCACACTTTGACTATATAGAAGTCTTTTTGTTGTTCTCTTGTTTTGAATCCGATTTTGTATCAAATTATAAACCAGCGTATACGTTTCTTATATAAGATTAAAAATTGAATGAAAACTTACTCATAATAACTATTTAGGGAAAAAATCGTATGTTTTCTTCTTTGAATTATACATTAACTGGACTTACGATTTTTAGTACTAACAGAGCTTTGAATATTTTAGCGTTTAAGAGACGTTGATTTTAGAACAAAGATTTCTCGTCATATCAAACGCAAACATGACCTTAAATATTTTCCCAAATCTCGATATTCGACGATGGCTTCACAAGCCAAACCGTCAGGTATTTACACACTCACCTCTTTCAACTAAAACCACATTTCTTGTTGGTATAACTTCATTTCACCCCATTATCTGAACTTATATTTGCTATAAAAAGCGTGTAGTGTAGCCTTATGAAGTTATGTAGATATGCGTGTAAAAAGGGGGGGTGGTTGAAATTATTTGGAAAATAGCTAACAAAGTACAGTCACATGCCAGACGAAAGTATCACAAATTGCTACAATGTCCGGCGGAAACGTCCTAGTTCATTTTGTAAAAAGCAGCCCTTTTTCCAAATGGAACCATTTAAAGTTCGATAATCTGAAAAAAAAACATAAACCACAAGTACAATAATTTTCCTCATCGAACTTCAATTGATAAATGATAACTTCTTTACCTTTTTTGTAAGCCCACCTTGCCTAAAGCGCCAATATGATCTTTTCCCATTAATTGGTATCCGTCTCTGTCGTCTGTCGTTGTATCAATCTTCCATTGTCCGTTAACTTTAACAACAATCTTCTCCTCTGAAACTACTTAGCCAAACTTAACCTCAATCATCATTGGGATGATTAATGTAATAGATATGTCCGATGAACCTGTTTGCCAACCAACATGGCTAAAAATGGAACAAGGGGGTAAAATGCAAGTTTTGTCTATTTTCTTGAAAACCACTATCGATAGAGAAAATCTAATGTTTAGAATGTTGAGATCTTCCTACTGTCTATATCATATTATAGTTCTTGCCCTTGCAATGTAAAGAATGATTTTTGTCTCATGTGACGAAAGTCGCAGTATGCGAGACATAGGTATTACTATCTGGCGGTGGTGGCGTAAACTATTTGTATAAAGCTTTATATTTCAGAAGGTTGAATACATGGATGCTTCTTTATATTTCAGAAAGTTGAATACATGGATGCTTCTTTATAGTTCAGAAGGTTGAATACATGGATGCTTCATGCCTTGTATCATGTGTATGTAGATTCCTTATTTTACGAAGTTTCTGTTTGTAATATGTCCATTGTACAAATGTACATGTCATTGACCTCATTTTCATGGTTCAGTGCAAGGATCCGGAACTTTTTTCCCACAGTTTTTGTCATTTTGAGATGACTTAAAAGCTGGTACCCTTTTTTCAAATTGTTGATATCACACTGTCACTAGATTCATAGCATCAACGAGCTTGTATTGACTGTTTTATCGCATTTACTTCGTGATTTTACTTACCAATTTTCTAAAATCATTCAAGAACAGTTTAGGGAAGGCAACAGTTTAAAATTGAAATGATTTTAATGACTCAAAATGGTAAATTTCTCAGACATCGCTAACGTTTCTGTTGATTTTGAAGATGAAATTAAAACCGGAAGTTTTGCAACAATACAAAAGTTCGAGTAATTCCGGATTCATTTCCGGGATTCGTTTTGTTTATCAAATTGACAGGAAATCAACGGCTTTTTAATTTTATTACCTTTTAAAATGTTTGAATATAACAGATATTAGTTGCAATCGTTAAATTTAGCATGAAATTGTTTTGCATTTTACAATTAAATGTGTAATCTGCTGAAGACAATTTCATGCATGTGTATTACCTAGTAAATAAAGCACATGTGTTACTTGTGAAAAAATACTTTTTTATACGTAATTAAATTAAGTATTAATTTTTATACGACCGCAAAAAAATTTTGTGGTCGTATATTGGTATGACGTTGGCGTCGTCGTCGTCGTCGTCCGGCGTCGTCGTCGTCCGGCGTCGTCGTCCGAATACACAATAGTTTTCGCACTCTAACTTTAGTTTAAGTGAATGGATCTCTATGAAATTTTACCATAAGGTTCAATACCACAATAGGAAGGTGGGGATTGATTTTGGGGGTTATGGTACCAACAGTTAAATAATTAGGGGCCAAAAAGGGGCCGAAAATAAGCATTTTTGTAACTTCCAGACATAACTTGTGTGTTATTGTATGGATCTCTTTGACATTGTACTACAAGATTCCATATCACAAAGGGTCGATGATGGGATTGATTTTGGGGTTAATTTCCTCGAAATTTTAGGAATAAGGGGCCAAAAGGGGGCAAAAAACAAGCATTTTTCTAGTTTCATGACAATAACTTGTGTGTAAGTGTATGGATCTTTCTGAAATTTTACTACAAGGTTCCATTTCGCAAAGGGAAAGCTGGAAATGAGTTTTGTGGTAATTGCCCAAAACGTTTAGTAATAAGGGGCCTAAAAAGGGGTAAAAAATAAGCATTTTTTAGTTTCTAGACAATAACTTGTGTTCAAGTGTATGGATCTCTCTAAAATTGTATTACAAGGTACCATACCACAAAGGCAAGGCTGTTATTGAGCTTGGTTTGGGGGGGAAGGGGGGGTGATGAATCATAGGGGGGGGGGGTCAAAAAAGGGGTAATTATTTTTTTTCGTTTAAGGAATAAGGGGAAAAAAGGTTAAAAAACTAGGGTTTCCATTTTAATAGACAAATAATTGAGTAAAGAACATTATTTAAAAGCAGTGTAAGGTTGGTAATTCAAACTCATTTAAATATCTCACCTGCACTATGTTTGAATTATGTAAATTGGAAATTTGCCAATTATTTTAGTATAATAAACTTCATTGGAAATTTGCCAATTTTATATTGGAAATTTACCAATAGTTTGTTTATTTTTAGCTATGACTATGATGTCATTTTCTATTTAATTTTAAGGTTACAAATTAATTTCAGTTTTAAATATTATTGTAAAATGTTTGCCCAAAACATTTATTAATAAGTGGCCAAAAAAGGGGGCAAAAATAAGCATTTTTTTAGTTTCCAGACATTAACTTGTGTTCAAGTGTATGGATTTCTCTGAAATTGTACTTAAAGGTACC